ACTTCTTATACCAGGAGAGTGATAATAAAGACACTACGAGAATCACAGTCCTACCCTGTTAGGGGAAAGCATCGTTTCTAAAGCAAATTGTCCCAGAGCCTGGTGCTGGCCCCCTGTGCAGACTAGTAGTACTCATGAGCAGGACTACTAGAAACCGTATTTTTAAATAATGAATTTGGTGTTTGATATTTCAAAATGTATTAACATGGTCATCATAGGAAAAGTCAGAACTCTATTACAGAGCTTCCTCTGTATTTTACAGTTTACAGTTGCTTTTATTTTGAATCACATGTTGGGGGGGGGCAGGGTCTTCCATAATCTTTTCACTGCTTTGGCCTCTAAAAAGCTTCAGACTGCCTCTTTGAGGCCTCCCTCCAGCATCTGAAAACTCTTGCACCTCAGGGGGAAAAAAAAAAAAAGTACAGAGTCTATTCTTTCTCAGGTCTGCCAATTTAAGGCATGATTTCAGAGAAATCTCAAAGCCATTGTGTGCCTTGCTTCCTGCAATAGGAAAGTGGAAAGAATAACCATTTAGCACCTCATGACTAGTGAGAAGTAACCGGTGGTTAATGAATCAATGCGAAGGATTTTTTCAGATACTGTTTGCATGACTAATGCCCCAGGAGTTGGTAGAGGAAGGCCTTTTAAGACCTCAGGGTGGAGAAGCCAACTTTGATTGTTCCACCTGGCAGTGAGGGGACACCTGGGGAGGGGAACCTACCGCCTTACAAATGCCCTTGCACTCGCCCAAGGCTTCCAGCAGCATCTGAAGCAGTGGATGCTCCTCTGGGCTCCAGCCCGCAGCCCTTTGCCCTTTACAGAGACGCATCTGTTTCCAATTATTCACTTCCACGGGAGCACTCAGTTTTTGCAGATAACACATTTACCCTCCTCGGCTCCTTTGGAATTATCCCAGAACCAATTTCTTTTCATGTTTGAAATAGTTTCACTTATTTTTTGAACAAGCACTGAGCACCTTTATAGATTTCGTTTCCTTTCTTTGACGGATGCTACTATTAAAAGTCTTTATACGACTAGAGATGTAATTTATTTCTGTGACCTCAAAAGCAAGTTGATGGTCACTCCAGGGATGACCCAGCACGTTTAGAAGTTCATTTAAAAATGTCTCTACAATGTATGGAAGACCCGTTCATTCCACAATCATGTATACAGTTACCCAGCTAAGAGCCCTAGGGATGGCAAGGGTTATAAATGCAAATAAAGTAAGGTACCTGCCCTCAAGGAGCTGATGGGAGGATTTCTACTCCACTAGGAATCTAACTATAATTGGTGTTTTGCTCAACATTTCCCACTTTTGTTGTCTTCATTATTTCAAAATTCAGGACTTACAGGCAGTCCTGAAATAAAAGTATATATTCCCTTATGTTGCTTCAACACCTCATCTCACCTCCTTAGCAGCACCAGGTTTGGAGCTGGAAGCACAAGTCTCCCCTCTCCCCTGGGAGAGCAAATGGCATCCAGTGGAGAGGCCGCGACTGTCACTCAGAAGTCCTGTGTGAACCACTAACCCACCACTTCTCTGTGTCTTCTTTTGACCTTTAGATTTGTCCAACAAATGATTGCATTTAAGCTCTTTCCTATTCTTTATTTTGTTTGGGTTTGGTTAATCCCACATTACAGGTGAAAACACTGAGGCCCAGAGATGTTAAGTCACCAGGCAGTAAAGGGGGAGCTTCTTTGAGGTCTCCAGTTGCTTGCATGGGGCCTGGCTGGCAAGTCTCGTGTGGTCAGTCCTTCATTCACAACGGCCATGCCACAGAGTTGACTGGATCGTTTCTGCCAATGTGCCTTTCTTTGCCCTTTTGCATGATGTAAGAAGAAAGCTTTAATTTTTGAAGGCATTTACAAAAATAACTTTTACTTCCTTATCTTCTTCAACTTAACCTCTGATCTACCATGTTTCCCCGAAAATAAGATCTACCCATAAAATAAGCCCTGGCAGGATTTCTAAGCATTTGCGCAATATAAGCCCTACCCCAAAAATAAGACCTAGTGATGGGCGTGGCTACGCAGCGCATCTGCACAGCCCATGCATTTGGTTGCAGAGCGGTAAAGAAGACGAGCAGCCCTTCTCATCTGCCCCATCGTGACAGCTGCTATCCCAGAGGTGACCGGAAAAGGTGCGGGCAGCCCCACCAACAAGGTCGGCTCCCCTGTCAGGTCCTGGCCATCCTGTGCGTGCTGCAAGCTGAGGCTTTGAGGGGAAAATAACACATCCCCTGAAAATAAGCCCTAGGGTGTCTTTTTGAGGAAAAGTAAATATAAGACCATGTCTTATTTTCGGGGAAACACGGTATTTCTAACTTTGGATGCTTCCGAATTTGCACAAGCAGATGAGGGAAGCCCCCTGCGTCCCCAGGGATGTCTAAAAGATAAAGAGATGCAGAAATATTTTTAAAGGCACTATTTACATAACGAAAGGGGGTGGAGGGGAAACTGTCTGAGACACCATTTCCCTCAAAGCTATCCTACTTGACTTGTTAACCAAAAACCTGAACTCAAATATCATCCACTAAGAAAGAGTCTTTCCCAGTAAAAGAACAGGTGGTTTCCATGAGTCTAAGATAGCTAAGGACCTTCAGACAGGAAAGAAGAATGGTATTTGGTACTTTTCACTTTTAGTAAAGTTAAGAAGCATTGAATAAATGTGAAAATTTTGTAGTTTTCCCAGTGAAGCAAATGAAGTGCTCTAGTTTTACTTTTCCAGCTGGGAGGGCAATCTAAATTGAATGCCAAAGTCAACTGTTGATAGCTTTTGTACTATAACTACTCATTTACTGGGAAGACGCAGGCCTCCTAAATATGGTTGCCTGGAAGGGCTCCATGAGCTACTCATCTCCATGAAAAAATTACCTAGCTCCCCCATGAGAGGGCTCTGGCCTGTGTTAGACTCCAACTGAAATCACCAAGTCAATGAGGAAAATTAAACCCATTTTATTCACAGGTGTACATTTTTTGTGCAATTATGTGTAGGTGCTTAAAAAAAAAACGATATTCAATAGAACCCATACACAATCAGTATAGAAGAAAATCAGTTGCTGTTTTAGCATAACAACAAGGAAATGCAAATTTAAGGAAGGAATTTTCATTAGCACATTTCCTTGGTGAATAGGTATTAAGACGTATTTGAATGCAAGACACCCCACCGTGTTTTGGGGAGCACTACACATAAAAGGTATGAGCTATAGCCAGATTTCCCTCCTGCTTTTTTTTTTTTTTTTTTTGCTTCTAGTTTCAACTTCTTAAAAGCCCATGAAGATAAATCTGGAAATATTTTTTAAATGTCACATTTGGAATCCATCTTACCATCCTGCACACTCTTTCCTTAGGGTGAAAAAGGGTGAATTGCCTTAGTGTCTTTGTTGGATCACAGAATCTTTTGTTTCTTGAGCAATATTTGCTGCTTCTGTTATTCCCACCTGAAGTCACAATCCTTTGTCACAGGACAATCATTTCCACGGCAACTAACTAGGATGTCACAATTGAGGGAGGAGGACTGTTTAGAAAGAAAAGAGAAAGAGAATGTAGTCTTTGGGGCTAAGGTTGTTGCTGGGTTTGAAAACAGTCACTTCAGTAATCAAAACATTTTAGCACAACACCCCCCCTACCCCCGCCCCCTGTGACAAAGCTGCATTTCTTCAAGGTCTCGGCTGTGACATAGAAAACATTTCAACAGGAGTTTAAGGGTTGCATGTTGTGGGTTTGGGAAGGGGTAGAGATTTTTTTTTTTATTTCATTTCATTCTAATTCTGTGCCAATGATACCTGCCAGTAAAGTACATTAAACATATTCCAGAAAGAGTTGATTTAGTAGATAAAAAATGTGTCTCCGGAGACCGGAGAAGGTACATTTTCTGTCTTGCTATGGTTTCCATAATAGGAACAATGTTTACATTTCCTCAGCCCATGCAGGGCTCTAATGTATTCCTGTTCTTTCTGTCTCCAGAGGCAGGAATTGAGGTATTTGAGATTTTATTTTTTAGCTACTGCATCAAGCACTTAAGATCTGACAATTGTGATGTGTATTCTCACTTGGTATTAAAAAATAAAAGCCTCAGCGTTTGCATCTGATTAGAGCCGCTCAGCTTGGTGGCTGATTAAGCAGGAACAGGGAGAGCAACTTTCTTCAGAAACAGCATCTTGGTTAATGTAGTGTAAGATTATGGAAGGGTGTAGTCACATAATTTTTATTAAATTGAAGAGATTATCTCTGCTGAAGAGTCTCACTGTGACAACAAACTCTAGGCATAATAATGGGACTTGACACTTCTCAAACCCGCTACAGGGCCCCAAATGGTCTCATTTCTAAATATTCGTTCAGTTTCAGTTCCAGTAAGGAGAGAGCTTCATTCAAATATTCAGCAAATTTACCTGAAATTGAGTGTGCATGAGTTTGTTTGGGTGTTTTGGTTTTTGGTTTTTGTGGGTTTTTGGGTTTTTTTTTTGGTAAAGTGATGCAACATCAGCATAAACATTTCTAATCTGTGAATTTTAGCTATTTTCTTTCATTGTAAATGCTAATGACACACACTCTCTTCCCTCTAGTTGCCTGAAATGCAAACATACTTTTCTTCAGACAGAGGCCCCCGTGCCCACAAGGAGGTCTTCGGAAAAGACCCCGACGGGAAGCCTGGAGTGTTGTGTGATTTGTTCATTTAACGTGCATAAAATTGTTATATATATATTTATATAAAATTTATATATACATATATAAAATAAAAGAGTATGTTCTGGGCAGAGTGAAAAGCGCTTTTTCAGAACACAAAGAAGGCAACAAATGAAGTCTATTTACATACTTCAAAGGGGGTGTGTGGGGAGGATTAATTAGTTAATGTTTGACAAGCTGAGCCTTGAAGACAAGTGATGCAGAGGTGCTATTGTCACTTATTACTGTTATTAATTAACAGGGTGAATGCCAAACCAAAAACAAGCCTTGTGGTGTGCTTTGTTTCTTAACACCGTGTGCAATGTCTATTGCAGGAGTGATCCGGGAAAGTTACCTCAAAGGCCACGACCAGCTGGTTCCTGTCACCCTCTTGGCCATTGCGGTCATCCTGGCTTTTGTCATGGGGGCCGTCTTCTCGGGCATCGTCGTGTACTGCGTGTGCGATCACCGGCGCAAAGACGTGGCCGTGGTGCAGCGCAAGGACAAGGAGCTCACCCACTCGCGCCGGGGCTCCATGAGCAGCGTCACCAAGCTCAGTGGCCTCTTCGGGGACCCCCAGTCCAAAGACCCAAAGCCAGAGGCCATCCTCACACCGCTCATGCACAACGGCAAGCTCGCCACCCCCGGCAGCACGGCCAAGATGCTCATCAAGGCCGACCAGCACCACCTGGACCTGACGGCCTTGCCCACGCCGGAGTCCACCCCGACGCTGCAGCAGAAGCGGAAGCCCAACCGAGGCAGCCGCGAATGGGAGCGGAACCAGAACCTCATCAATGCCTGCACCAAGGACATGCCCCCCATGGGCTCCCCCGTGATCCCCACGGACCTGCCCCTCCGGGCCTCCCCCAGCCACATCCCCAGCGTGGTGGTCCTTCCCATCACGCAGCAGGGCTACCAGCATGAGTACGTGGACCAGCCCAAAATGAGCGAGGTGGCCCAGATGGCGCTGGAAGACCAGGCCGCCACCCTGGAATATAAGACCATCAAGGAGCATCTCAGCAGCAAGAGCCCCAACCACGGGGTGAACCTTGTGGAGAACCTGGACAGCCTGCCCCCCAAAGTCCCACAGCGGGAGGCCTCCCTGGGCCCTCCGGGAGCCTCCCTGTCCCAGAATGGCCTGAGCAAACGGCTGGAAATGCACCACTCCTCTTCCTACGGGGTTGACTATAAAAGGAGCTACCCCACGAACTCGCTCACGAGAAGCCACCAGGCCACCACCCTCAAAAGAAACAATACTAACTCCTCCAATTCCTCTCACCTCTCCAGAAACCAGAGCTTTGGCAGGGGAGACAACCCGCCCCCCGCCCCGCAGAGGGTGGACTCGATCCAGGTGCACAGCTCCCAGCCGTCCGGCCAGGCCGTGACTGTCTCGAGGCAGCCCAGCCTCAGCGCCTACAACTCACTGACCAGGTCGGGGCTGAAGCGTACGCCCTCCCTAAAGCCGGACGTGCCCCCCAAACCTTCCTTTGCCCCCCTTTCCACATCCATGAAGCCTAATGACGCGTGTACATAATCCCAGGGGGAGGGGTCAGGTGTCGAACCAGCAGGCAAGGCGAGGTGCCCGCTCCGCCCGGCAAGGTTCTCAGCTGCCTCGAGTACCCACCAGACCAGGACGGCCCGCGGCAGGGCTGAGGACACCGGGTCCCCCTCTCTGGGACACAGGGGTACTCACGACAGTTGGGCCATATGGTTTGGTGAAGGTTTGCAACGGCGGGGACTCACCTCCATCCTCTTCCTTCACTCTCCCCCACACCCCACAACAGGGCGGACCCACAAAAGACTTCAGTTATCATCACAAACATGAGCCAAAAGCACATACCCACTCCATGCCCCCATACACACACACACACACACACACACACAGGTAAACAGCAACTGCAACATTTTGTCCATGACTGCACGGGGCATCGCCAAACTGGGCTAGTGCTCCAAACTGCAAAACACGAGTACATGTTAAAAAAAAAAATCATGAAAATTAAAAAAAGACAAAAAAAGAATTCATTGATAACTCTAACTCAGACTTTTAACAATGGCAGAAGTTTACTATGCGCAGATACTGTGAAATGCCCACCAGTGTTACAGCTTTCTGTTATAGCAGACAAAGGCCGTGTTGGGCAACTATGTCATAGATTTCTGCTCCTCCTCTCTTTTAATGAAATAACGTGACCGTTAACGCAAGTAACTCTTTATTTATTGTTCACCCTTTTTTTCCTTAAGGAAAGGACTCTTCCACATATCATCCTATGAACAGCTCTTCTGAAAGCCCATCGAAAGTTAAACTATTTAACGTGAAATCCATTAACTGGAATAATTGAGTTTCTTTATTTTTACAATAAATTCACTGAGTAAATAAGTTGGAGCTGGAATTCTGAGCTTTGTGTTTGGACTGTTTGGTCTGTAGCTAAAGGAAAACATTAAGAGGGGAATATTTATTTAAATCTACCAGTTAATTTGCTGGTCAGGTCTCTGGCCTATAACATGCAAAAAAAAAAAAAATTAATTACTTTAAAAGTCCTTCCAGATCCTAACTTCTAAAGCAAGCAGGAGAGAAGGTTTTAGACTGGCACATGGTGTCCCATGGGTGCCACTTTTCTGTGAAGGCACCAGCTTGTGATCCGCCATCTCATTTCACCTTGCATGTGAGACACCAAACAAAATCCACAAACGGTGTGAACTAATTAATACGCTGGCTGCTACCTTGCATAAAATTAATGGTTTGATCACACGGGTTTTTCGTGGGGTTACATCTGTGAATAGCCTGTTTTCCACATGTAAATTTGTGCCTTACACCTTGAGTTGTGTACACTTGTAAACTGTCGTTACGATCAACTCTCTTCCCCTTTTGAAATAAATGCAGATATTTATTTAACCCTCCCCTCGCCCCACCCCACCCCCCACTCCAGCCCTCCGGAAGATTGGAGTGGAGCAGATGGAAAAAGAATGCCGCGGCGATGGTGGTAGTGCCGCAGCCTGGGAAAGCTGGGTGGCCCCACACCCTCCAATCCACGCTGCCTTCTAGTCGTGCCAACTCGAAGCGCCCTTCGGCTGTGCTGCCACGCACGGACCCCAGTGCCGTGGCTGGCAAACCCCCTCTCTTCCTCCAGAGTTCCCGCTTCCCTTAGCTCTTTTCAATGTGGTGATACCCTCATTAGCCGGCAGAAAAGGGGCTAACGCCCCAGCCCTGGTTCTGCCGCGTCCGCTGGCTGGAGCCCACGCTGCTGCGTGTGGTCGGGCAGGCACCTGGGAGGAGTCGCCAAGCCGTGTGCTCACGTGCAGTGTACACAAAGAAACGACACGGAAATAGATGCAGGCAGGCTGGTCCCTGCCGTGATTAACGAGTAACTCCAAGTACAAGGCCAACCACAATGGGTGCTGCAGAAATGTAGACTGGGGCAAAAAGAGTTTTTTTTTTTATTTTTTTAATTTCCTTACCCTTTTGTTGTTATTGTTTGGAGGGGGTGGGAGAGGGTGGCGTGTCTTTTTCTCCCCTCGGATTTCATTTGCTCGAGCACACAGAAGAAGGGACTTTTGTTTACTTTATCAAGAGCGAAAGAATCGTGAACATGCTATAAACCGTGAGAATTATTGTTGGTGGTTGTTTTTTTTTTAAGCAGTTGAACAGTATATTTGGTGGTCTGTTGGTCTCTTTTTATTTCTAGTTTGATCTTCTGGGTTTAGTTTTGTCTTTAAAAAATAAAAAAATAAAAAATAAAAAGACTGATAAGGACAGTTTTGAGTTGGAAGTGAAACAGTGGAGTCTCCATAATCACAGTGGTCCCTCTGAGACCCAGGTATGTCGTTGAGGGTGAGTGCCCTGCCTTTTTTTCCCAATGCCCATTGCAGTTTTGCTATTGTTTAGGGTAGGTTTTTGTTGTTCTCGTTACATTTTTGTTTTGTTTTGTTTTTTTAGTGGAATCAATGTTCACTCCCTATGAACTCCGTCCCCTGCAACCCTGAGGTCTTTACTAGAAACCATTATTTTCCTCCTTGAATTTTCTTGAGAAATGCAGAAGTTGGGACGATGGTGGGCACATATCACCTTGTCCCCTTCTCCCCCGCGCTTGACTCCCCAGAGTATTGAGGGTGGGGGGCCTGCCGTCCACAGGACCACGTGTCTCACTCCGTGTCTGCGGGCACCGTTGCTTCTGCCGCGTTGAGAAGACCTGTGTCAAAACGTGCGTCCCTCATCCCTACATCCTGCAACCCCGTCACCTGCGCTGTTAACCCTAAAATGCTCGCTGTATCGAGCTAGTCTTCTGCATTGAAGTATTCCCCCCCTTTCGTCGTCCCCACTGCGTGTGGGGGGAGGGTCCATAAACCTGAGTGTGCCTTTGCTTTCCACCCTTGCTAGACACTGGTAGATGCAACAAACTCAGATCTACATTTGTTGTAAAGCTGTAAAAATATTGTGATGTCACCGATTCTCTTCCATTTCCACATCCCCTAACATCTGATTCACGACTTAATGTATGTTTTAAAAAAGGAAAAAAGAAAAAAAGGGAAAAAAGAAAAAAAAAAAGCGAGGAAAAGGCTCTTTATTACTTAAAAGTAATAAAACCAGACTGTTCTACATTATCTTTTGTGTCCTGAATGCTTTTATTTATCTCTTAATTTTTCCCTTTTAAAAACGGCTCTCCTCCGAGCCCTCCCCCTGACCATTCTGGGTCATGGTTCTCTCTTTCCTCCATCTCTCTCTCTCTGGTTTCCTAAGCATAGATAACTATGTAGTCAGATGCATTTGTTTGCAGTAGCCACACCCCGCCACCCCCACCCAAATTATTGATGTCTTTCTCTGCTTGCACCCAGCCCGGAGCACGATTGCAGCAGAAGCCACCGGTAATTAAAAGGCAGAGCACGAATTGGCTCCCTCTACTCATTTTATGCATTTTCTTTTTATGGGCTTGTTCATCATCAAACATTTATGGTAGGCTTGATAGTTTAAGAGATCAAGGCTCGGATTCTAGTATGTAGGGTCCACTAAAAATAGATCCTTGCACAGATGTGACTTCAGCCTTTTTACATATTAATCAGGTGGAGGGTGCTGGGTTTTACTCCTTGTTAGCATTTATCTCTTGTAACCCAGGGACACGGTTGGAGGTATATTGGGATACAGCACTTGATTTTTGTTTTGCAGAATAGCACTATGAAATGCCTAGATCAGGTTTTCCCCTCTGGGGTGTTTTGTTAAAAAGTTATTTAAATAAGTGCTCAGCTATGCTATTTTACTTTTGACCTTCTGGGATAATTTTGTGAGTGTTTCGGTCACTGTGAGTGTGGGATGGCCTCAGTTCACACCCATAGTGGTCTCTTGGCCTAGCCCAGTTACCTTTTAATAAGTCATTTCCATTGGTGCCAGACACTGTTAGGCACAAAGTTAACAGAATGTTGTTCCTGTCCCCATGCAGAGGTGAAAGCAAAGTCCTGAGGAAGCTTCCCAGGGTTAGGGTCAAAAGCAATATTTGAGCTGGTTCGTATAGAATGAGTTCTGTGGACAGTTAGCCCAGGCAGAGGGGACAACTTCTGCAAAGGCATCTAATGTGTTGTTTGGGAAGCAAAAGGCTCAGCATGCCTTGGGCAGGGTCTGTGAGAGCCTGGCAGGCAAGCCTGGGAAAGGGTGTGGGGACAGACCTGGAGGGACGTGGTTCCCATGTGCTAGGATTTTGGTGACGGGCAGTGGAGTGCTCCCCTGCTTTGGAGTGTATGAAGCAACAGACTCAAGTGTCTGTGCTTTAGAAAGCTACCTGGCAGTAACCTGGGAAACGGGAGAGGCTGCAGGCCCGCCAGGCAGTAGGCCAAATGGTATATACCAAGTGGGTAGGAATAGCACAAGGGAAAACCCCACATCCAATTTCAGATTCTTTAGGGCACAGTTGGAATCAGCTCTAGGATTGGCCTGTCTTTTGCCAGACAGAAGAGCATTCACATCTTATCAGAATCACATCTTATGTGATTGACAGGTTTGCCCTGCCCAAGTATATCCAGATTTCTTCTTGTAGAACTGAGAGAATGGCCAATAGTTAGTCTGACCCTTTCATTTTAAAAAATGGGGCACACTGAGGTCCACTGAGTGAAGGGATTTGCCCATGACCCAAAGCTAGTGGCAGAGTAGCCATTCTGAAGACAAATCCATTTGGCTCTTACCCCCGTTAATTCGGAGGATTAGAACAATACTAGCTAGAAAGACTCGAGACCCCAGACCCAGACAGCATCTCTGGCTCCCTCAGTCTTCCTTTCTCACAGGAAGCCCCTCATTTCATACACCTCCCACCCTGCCCTGCCAGGCACCCCACATGCCTTCATCCGGGCCGAGATGAGCTGGAAAGCAGATGCTTGGATCACATGAGTCTGAAGCAAACAGTCCCTGCAGTGCAACCTGATTCTGAGTCTGGTGGCTTTTGGTGCAAGTCAGCTTTGTCCTGGCCTGCTGAAGAGGTGACAGAGGCTGAACAGGTGTGGCCAGTACTGTACCTGGAGCCCCACTCAGACACAAAAACTGCCTCAGACAACACACATTTTTAATTGTTATGTTTGTTTGTTTGCTTGCTCGGCTTGATTGTTCCAACGTTGGAGCTTTCCGCAGGGTGTTTTTAGACTGTCGTCCCTAAGGACTAGCTGTCCCGACACAGCCACCAGGTGAGGTGTTTCATGGGCCCAGAGCTGACACCTTGACCTGACTGTTTTCCTTAAGTGCTACGTCCGATAAACACAAACTGGCCTCCTTGTTCAGCCCTGTAATTTGTTCGAAGCCGAACGAGGCGCCCCAGAACCACAGCGCGTGGGTTTCAGTACCTGAACAAAAGCTCTTTCAACAGAAGTCATTCAGCGGGTGGAAGTGTCAGGAAGGCGTCTCCAGTTTCAGACACTCACACATTTCCCTTGAGGGAAAGGGGTGAGGGGGATTTAAAAGAAGCCTTTAGTGACAAAATAACATGATTAAGAGCATAATCCTTTTCCTGGCTGGGCACTGTGACAGCCGGTGCCGAGACTCAGTAACCCTTAGAAACCCACATCTCACGCTAGTCTTAAAACCAGGTGGTGACGCGTCTCTTCTACAGAAGTGGGCGGGAAGGGCTCACATTTATTGATTGGGACTGCCAGACAGATGGGGATCTTCAATATTCCATTTAGAGTATTGTGTATCCTTAGCTCTAACCCCCCCGGGATGCTGGGAGGTGGGGGGCGGCTGACCTCAACAGAGGGCTAGAGCTGAACCTCGGTGCATTAAATGGGGCTGGGCAGGAAAACGTGCAGATGGCTGTCCCTCTAGTAAATGGAAATGAAATTTGAGCAAATCAAGAAGGGCAGCTGAGCGGCAGGGGGAGAGGGGTTCCCAACCCCCTCTGCAAACACATCCACACACACGTGTGCACACACAAATGCTATCACGGGGCTTTTTCCTCTTAATGTCTGTAACCAAAAATGTCACAGAGGTCAGAAGCCATGCCTGCTGAGGGTGGCCTCTTTGGGAGGGCTTTCCTCCCTTTTCCTGGTAAAATATGGGCTACCCCCCTAAGCAACTCCTTGGTCAAAAGTGAGCCGCCATAAACCACAGCTTCAGACATGGGAACCGGAATGTTTGCAGAGGAGCCTGGACACGGGTCCCTTACAGCTGGCTGGGTGGCTAACAACTTTTTTATTCTTCCTAATCACCTGCAGATAGAAGACTCTCTTGAGCATCATTAGCGTCATTTCCAGAGCAAGGCATCGGCTCTGCTAAAGGGCTGCAGTAATGGCCCCAGTAAGAGGAAGCTAATGAAGAGGAAAAGTAGGTAACCATGAAATCAGAAGCATTTTTCACTGGCGGTTTTCAGCAAAAAGGAAAAAGAAACAGATGAGGGTGACATTGGACAAAACAGCAAATGCCAGGATACCAACACGAGAGAAACTCAAGCAGGATTCCCTGGAGTTTCCTAGCATGAGAGAGGCGACGAAAAACCCATCAGAAAGTCAATCGCTCTCTTTCGTCCTGTGCATCAGGACAGCTGCCCTTACCACGTGGTGGGGGTGGCTCACCAAACTCAGCATCGGTTCTCTCCTGTGAATACTGAACACTGTGCTCATCAGTCCCGTGTCAATGCAAAAGTGTGAATTTCAATAACATGGCTAAAGTTTATTTAATTAAAAATGAAAAGCGAAACGGCACCACCACCCCTCCCCCAGAGGGGCGAGGCTTCCAACTGTCAATAATGGCATTTTGCATTTGTAGCCTTTTACTATGGGCAGACGTAATCTCGTCCATTATGTTGCCGGAGCCTCATGGCAGCCTAGGGAGGTGGGCAGCGCGTGTGTAATTACCCCCACTTTGCAGAAATTAGAGTTTGGAGAGAAGGGATCTACTGCGCACCGATCGACATAAAAATGCAGTCCTGTTTCGAAAACCTGTGTGTTGACATCATCCGCTCGGCTCTCCTGGGGCACCTCGGGTTACACAATTACTCTGCCTCGCTGAAGGGGAAGAGCCTCCTACAGCATTCCCCAGGAGAGACGGATACAACAATAAAGTCCCCAAAATAAAGGCGAGGTGCACACGTTCTATTTTGAGGGCATTGTGCTCTGATATTTTTCCATCATTAAAGAACACATCTCTTCCTTCCTGCGTCTGCAGAGCCCCGATGCCAGGGCTGTTATTAGGGGCTGTCAACAAAGCAGGAAAAGAGGGAGCTGAAGCCAAACTCTGTGACCTCCCTTCTTGAGGAGCACCCTGCCACTTCAGGGGCTGTGACACAGGCTGCCTCCATGGAAGAAAAGGATGAAAGGCTCAGCTTTCTTGGCTGCTTCAGCCTGCCCAAGCCACAGAGATCACAAAAGAAATTTAAGAAGCTTTCAAGAACCCTGGATGAATTAGGAGCAGGGAAGAAAAAATATCCTCTACCTGGAAGGGTGAAGAATCCGCCCATCCTTCTCTTCACAGAAGACGTAGGTGAAGTCAGTGTGAAAGAAAGAGATAGTGAGAAACAGCCACTGTTGCCTTTTCATGTCAGCCCCAAGGCCACACTGGCGCTATGAGAGCCAACTGAGCAATAGGACTTCACCACTCAGGTCAGTGGTTGGATGATTTGGTTGAGTGCCTAGAAAAATCTTCCAGCAGAAGACAAGACAGAGATGACCCCCATCTGGGGACCGGTCCTCCTCCTCCACATCATGGCCCCATGTTCCACGTTGCACTGCCACAGAGCCACCCTCCTGGAGTTAATGGGCTGAGAGTGCGTGTGGCGTGGGTGGGAGGGTGCTGGCATCCTCTCTGCAGTGGGCACCCGGCCTCCCTCCTGCCCCCAGGGGCAGCGTGGGCTGGCCGGTCACCAGGCAGGGCTCCAACACGGCACTCTGCAGAAGCCAGCGTCTTCCACTCCGCCCTGTGGCAGGGGAACCTCCAACAGAGTCCACTCAGAGGGAGAAGAAAATGGATGTTCTCCTTAGAACCCCACTGTTCTCTTTGTGTTTGATGCACGATGGTTAATGTGATGTTTTGAAAAAAGAAAAAGAAAAAGAAAAGAGGAAAAGAAAGAGCGAAAAGAAGGCTCTTTATTACTTAAAAGTAGATAAAAACAGACTGGGTTCTACGTTATTCTTTGTGTTCTGAATGCTTTTATTACTCTTATTTTCGCTATTAAGAACGTCGTCCTCCGGACTCCTCCCCCTGACCATCTGTGTCATGGTTCTCTTCGCCAGTCTTCTGTTCCTCTGGTCCTAAGCATAGATATAACTATGTAGTCAGATGCATTTGCAGTAGCCACGCCACCCCACCCAAATTATTGATGTTTTCTCTGTTGCACCCAGCCGGGCACGATTGCAGGGGCCAAGGGGAAGCCACCGGTATTAAAAGGCCAGGCACGAATTGGCTCCTCTACTCATTTATGCATTTGCTGTTTTATGGCCTTGTTCCATCATCAAACTTTATGTGTAGTGATAGTTTAAGAGATCAGAGGCTCGGATTCTAGTAATGTAGGGTCCACTAAGAAATAGATCCTTGCACAGTGGTGACTTCAGCCTTTTACATTTAATCAGGTGGAGGGTGCTGGGTTTTATCCCTTGTTAGGCATTTATCTCTTGTAACCCAGGGACACGTTGGAGTATTGGGATACAGCATTGATTTTGTTTTTGCAGAAGTAGCATATGATGCTAGGATCAGGTTTTCCCCTCTGGGGTGTTCTGTTAAAAAGTTTAAATAAGTGCTCAGCTATGCTCATGTATTTTTGCTTCTGGGATAATTTTGAGTGTTTCGGGTCACTGTGAGTGGTGGGTGGCTCAGTTCACACCCATAGTGGTCCTGGCTAGGCCCAGTGTACCTTTTAATAATCATTTCCATTGGTGCCAGACACTGTTAGGCACAAAGTTAACAGAATGTTCGTTCCTGTCCCCATGCAGAGGTGAAGCAAGCTGGAGGAAGGCTTCCAGGTTTTAGGTCAAAAGCAATATTTGGCTGGCTTCGTTATAGATGAGTTCTGGGAAGTTAGCCCAGGCAGATGGGGACATCTGCAAAGGATCTAAGGTGTTTTGTTTGGAAGCAAAAGGCTCAGCCATGCTTGGGCAGGTCTGTGAGAGCCTGGCAGGCAAGCCTGGGAAAGGGGTGTGGGGAAGCCTGGAGGACGTGTTCCATGTGCTAGGATTTTGGTGACGGGCAGGTGAGTGCTTCCCCTGCTTTGGAGTGTATGGAAGCAACAAGACTCAAGTTGTCTTGCTTTAGAAAGCTACCTGGCAGTAACGCTGGGAAACGACTGGTCCAGGAGAGGCTGCAGGCCGCCAAGGCAAAGCAGGCCAATGTATATACCAGGTGGGTAGAACAGCACAAGGAAAACTCCACATCCAATTTCAGATTCTTTAGGGCACATGTTTGTTGGAATCAGCTCTAGGATTGGCCTGTCTTTTGCCAGACAGAAGAGCGTCCATTCTTATGATGATTGACAAGTTTGCCTGCCCAATATATCCAGTTCTTTTGGTAGGAACTGATTTTGGGTGGGGGGGGGTGTGGGGTGTTGGTTGGTTGTGTGGTTGGGGGGTGTAGAGGATGGCATAAGTTAGTCTGGAGCCGGTGTCATTGTATTTAAAAATGGGGACACTGAGGGTCACTGATGTGAAGATTGCCATGACCCAAAGCTAGTGGCGGAGTAGCCATTCTGTAAGAGCAAATCATTTGGCTTTACTCCGTCATTCGGAGATTAGAGAACAGATACTGTAGCGTATAAGAGGAGTCGAGACCCCAGACCCAGGACCATCGCATCTCTGGCCCCTCTCTATTCTTCGGTATTCTCACAGGAAGCTCCCGCTGCTCCAGTTCAGGTTACACCCCACCCGTGCCCCGCCGATGGCAGCCCGCACCGTTTGCCCCACATGCCTTCTTCCGGAGATGAGCCGGAAAGAGGTAGTTGGTGATCACAGAGTCTGAAGTCGACATCCTGCATGTGCAACTGTGATTCTGATCTGTGTTTTGGTGCAATCACTTTGCCTTGGGCCTGCTGAAAGGGACAGAGGCTGACGAGTGTGCAGTTACTGTACCTGGCGTCCAGCTCAGACACAAAAACGTTTTGCCTCTAGAAGGACAGTCGGTGTTTATAATCGTTGTGTCTGTGTGTGGGGCTTCGTGTGTGTGTGGTCTGTTTAGCGTTGCGGCTTGATGGTTACAGGTGGACTTTCCGCAGGGTGTTTTTAGACTGTTCGTCTAAGGACTTGCTGTCCAACACACCACCAGTTATGGTGAAGTTGGTTTTCATGGGCCAGAGGTGACCAGGTCGCCTGTTGGACCTACTTTTCCGCTAAGGCTGACGGCCGGTAAATAGCAGCCTGGCCTCCTTGTTCAGGCGCCTGTTGAATTTGGTTGCGAAGCGAACAGTGCGCCGAGAACTAGCAGCGCGTGGTTCACTGCTCTGAGGACAAATGATCTTTCAACAAGGTGGGTTTCATGCGGGGTGGATAGTGTTAGGTAAGCGTCTCCAGTTGTCAGACACTGCACCCATTCCCTGAGAGAAGGGGTGAGGGATAAAAGAATTTAGACAAAATAAATGATTAAGAGCATAATGGCGCAAAAAAAAAATCATGAAAATTAAAAAAAGACAAAAAAAGAATTCATTGATAACTCTAACTCAGACTTTTAACAATGGCAGAAGTTTACTATGCGCAGATACTGTGAAATGCCCACCAGTGTTACAGCTTTCTGTTATAGCAGACAAAGGCCGTGTTGGGCAACTATGTCATAGATTTCTGCTCCTCCTCTCTTTTAATGAAATAACGTGACCGTTAACGCAAGTAACTCTTTATTTATTGTTCACCCTTTTTTTCCTTAAGGAAAGGACTCTTCCACATATCATCCTATGAACAGCTCTTCTGAAAGCCCATCGAAAGTTAAACTATTTAACGTGAAATCCATTAACTGGAATAATTGAGTTTCTTTATTTTTACAATAAATTCACTGAGTAAATAAGTTGGAGCTGGAATTCTGAGCTTTGTGTTTGGACTGTTTGGTCTGTAGCTAAAGGAAAACATTAAGAGGGGAATATTTATTTAAATCTACCAGTTAATTTGCTGGTCAGGTCTCTGGCCTATAACATGCAAAAAAAAAAAAAATTAATTACTTTAAAAGTCCTTCCAGATCCTAACTTCTAAAGCAAGCAGGAGAGATGGTTTTAGACTGGCACATGGTGTCCCATGGGTGCCACTTTTCTGTGAAGGCACCAGCTTGTGATCCGCCATCTCATTTCACCTTGCATGTGAGACACCAAACAAAATCCACAAACGGTGTGAACTAATTAATACGCTGGCTGCTACCTTGCATAAAATTAATGGTTTGATCACACGGGTTTTTCGTGGGGTTACATCTGTGAATAGCCTGTTTTCCACATGTAAATTTGTGCCTTACACCTTGAGTTGTGTACACTTGTAAACTGTCGTTATGATCAACTCTCCTCCCCTTTTGAAATAAATGCAGATATTTATTTAACCCTCCCCTCGTCCCACCCCACCCCCCACTCCAGCCCTCCAGAAGATTGGAGTGGAGCAGATGGAAAAAGAATGCCGCGGCGATGGTGGTAGTGCCGCAGCCTGGGAAAGCTGGGTGGCCCCACACCCTCCAATCCACGCTGCCTTCTAGTCGTGCCAACTCGAAGCGCCCTTCGGCTGTGCTGCCACGCACGGACCCAGTGCCGTGGGCGGCAAACCCCCTCTCTTCCTCCAGAGCTCCCGCTTCCCTTAGCTCTTTTCAATGTGGTGATACCCTCATTAGCCGGCAGAAAAGGGGCTAACGTCCCAGCCCTCGTTCTGTCGCGTCCGCTGGCTGGAGCCCACGCCGCTGCGTGTGGTCGGGCAGGCACCTGGGAGGAGTCGCCAAGCCGTGTGCTCGGCACACGTGCAGTGTACACAAAGAAACGACACGGAAATAGATGCAGGCAGGCTGGTCCCTGCCGTGATTAACGAGTAACTCCAAGTACAAGGCCAACCACAATGGGTGCTGCAGAAACTGTAGACTGGGGCAAAAAGAGTTTTTTTTTATTTTTTTAATTTCCTTACCCTTTTGTTGTTATTGTTTGGAGGGGGTGGGAGAGGGTGGCGTGTCTTTTTCTCCCCTCGGATTTCATTTGCTCGAGCACACAGAAGAAGGGACTTTTGTTTACTTTATCAAGAGCGAAAGAATCGTGAACATGCTATAAACCGTGAGAATTATTGTTGGTGGTTGTTTTTTTTTTAAGCAGTTGAACAGTATATTTGGTGGTCTGTTGGTCTCTTTTTATTTCTAGTTTGATCTTCTGGGTTTAGTTTTGTCTTTAAAAAATAAAAAAATAAAAAATAAAAAGACTGATAAGGACAGTTTTGAGTTGGAAGTGAAACAGTGGAGTCTCCATAATCACAGTGGTCCCTCTGAGACCCAGGTATGTCGTTGAGGGTGAGTGCCCTGCCTTTTTTTCCCAATGCCCATTGCAGTTTTGCTATTGTTTAGGGTAGGTTTTTGTTGTTCTCGTTACATTTTTGTTTTGTTTTGTTTTTTTAGTGGAATCAATGTTCACTCCCTATGAACTCCGTCCCCTGCAACCCTGAGGTCTTTACTAGAAACCATTATTTTCCTCCTTGAATTTTCTTGAGAAATGCAGAAGTTGGGACGATGATGGGCACATATCACCTTGTCCCCTTCTCCCCCGCGCTTGACTCCCCAGAGTATTGAGGGTGGGGGGCCTGCCGTCCACAGGACCACGTGTCTCACTCCGTGTCTGCGGGCACCGTTGCTTCTGCCGCGTTGAGAAGACCTGTGTCAAAACGTGCGTCCCTCATCCCTACATCCTGCAACCCCGTCACCTGCGCTGTTAACCCTAAAATGCTCGCTGTATCGAGCTAGTCTTCTGCATTGAAGTATTCCCCCCCTTTCGTCGTCCCCACTGCGTGTGGGGGGAGGGTCCATAAACCTGAGTGTGCCTTTGCTTTCCACCCTTGCTAGACACTGGTAGATGCAACAAACTCAGATCTACATTTGTTGTAAAGCTGTAAAAATATTGTGATGTCACCGATTCTCTTCCATTTCCACATCCCCTAACATCTGATTCACGACTTAATGTATGTTTTAAAAAAGGAAAAAAGAAAAAAAGGGAAAAAAGAAAAAAAAAAAGCGAGGAAAAGGCTCTTTATTACTTAAAAGTAATAAAACCAGACTGTTCTACATTATCTTTTGTGTCCTGAATGCTTTTATTTATCTCTTAATTTTTCCCTATTAAAAACGGCTCTCCTCCGAGCCCTCCCCCTGACCATTCTGGGTCATGGTTCTCTCTTTCCTCCATCTCTCTCTCTGGTTTCCTAAGCATAGATAACTATGTAGTCAGATGCATTTGTTTGCAGTAGCCACACCCCGCCACCCCCACCCAAATTATTGATGTCTTTCTCTGCTTGCACCCAGCCCGGAGCACGATTGCAGCAGAAGCCACCGGTAATTAAAAGGCAGAGCACGAATTGGCTCCCTCTACTCATTTTATGCATTTTCTTTTTATGGGCTTGTTCATCATCAAACATTTATGGTAGGCTTGATAGTTTAAGAGATCAAGGCTCGGATTCTAGTATGTAGGGTCCACTAAAAATAGATCCTTGCACAGATGTGACTTCAGCCTTTTTACATATTAATCAGGTGGAGGGTGCTGGGTTTTACTCCTTGTTAGCATTTATCTCTTGTAACCCAGGGACACGGTTGGAGGTATATTGGGATACAGCACTTGATTTTTGTTTTGCAGAATAGCACTATGAAATGCCTAGATCAGGTTTTCCCCTCTGGGGTGTTTTGTTAAAAAGTTATTTAAATAAGTGCTCAGCTATGCTATTTTACTTTTGACCTTCTGGGATAATTTTGTGAGTGTTTCGGTCACTGTGAGTGTGGGATGGCCTCAGTTCACACCCATAGTGGTCTCTTGGCCTAGCCCAGTTACCTTTTAATAAGTCATTTCCATTGGTGCCAGACACTGTTAGGCACAAAGTTAACAGAATGTTGTTCCTGTCCCCATGCAGAGGTGAAAGCAAAGTCCTGAGGAAGCTTCCCAGGGTTAGGGTCAAAAGCAATATTTGAGCTGGTTCGTATAGAATGAGTTCTGTGGACAGTTAGCCCAGGCAGAGGGGACAACTTCTGCAAAGGCATCTAATGTGTTGTTTGGGAAGCAAAAGGCTCAGCATGCCTTGGGCAGGGTCTGTGAGAGCCTGGCAGGCAAGCCTGGGAAAGGGTGTGGGGACAGACCTGGAGGGACGTGGTTCCCATGTGCTAGGATTTTGGTGACGGGCAGTGGAGTGCTCCCCTGCTTTGGAGTGTATGAAGCAACAGACTCAAGTGTCTGTGCTTTAGAAAGCTACCTGGCAGTAACCTGGGAAACGAACTGGTCCAGGGAGAGGCTGCAGGCCCGCCAGGCAGTAGGCCAAATGGTATATACCAAGTGGGTAGGAATAGCACAAGGGAAAACCCCACATCCAATTTCAGATTCTTTAGGGCACAGTTGGAATCAGCTCTAGGATTGGCCTGTTTTTTGCCAGACAGAAGAGCATTCACATCTTATCAGAATCACATCTTATGTGATTGACAGGTTTGCCCTGCCCAAGTATATCCAGATTTCTTCTTGTAGAACTGAGAGAATGGCCAATAGTTAGTCTGACCCTTTCATTTTAAAAAATGGGGCACACTGAGGTCCACTGAGTGAAGGGATTTGCCCATGACCCAAAGCTAGTGGCAGAGTAGCCATTCTGAAGACAAATCCATTTGGCTCTTACCCCCGTTAATTCGGAGGATTAGAACAATACTAGCTAGAAAGACTCGAGACCCCAGACCCAGACAGCATCTCTGGCTCCCTCAGTCTTCCTTTCTCACAGGAAGCCCCTCATTTCATACACCTCCCACCCTGCCCCACCAGGCACCCCACCCTGCCCCACCAGACACCCCACATGCCTTCATCCGGGCCGAGATGAGCCAGAAAGCAGATGCTTGGATCACATGAGTCTGAAGCAAACAGTCCCTGCAGTGCAACCTGATTCTGAGTCTGGTGGCTTTTGGTGCAAGTCAGCTTTGTCCTGGCCTGCTGAAGAGGTGACAGAGGCTGAACAGGTGTGGCCAGTACTGTACCTGGGGCCCCGCTCAGACACAAAAACTGCCTCAGACAACACACATTTTTAATTGTTATGTTTGTTTGTTTGCTTGCTCGGCTTGATTGTTCCAACGTTGGAGCTTTCCGCAGGGTGTTTTTAGACTGTCGTCCCTAAGGACTAGCTGTCCCGACACAGCCACCAGGTGAGGTGTTTCATGGGCCCAGAGCTGACACCTTGACCTGACTGTTTTCCTTAAGTGCTACGTCCGATAAACACAAACTGGCCTCCTTGTTCAGCCCTGTAATTTGTTCGAAGCCGAACGAGGCGCCCCAGAACCACAGCGCGTGGGTTTCAGTACCTGAACAAAAGCTCTTTCAACAGAAGTCATTCAGCGGGTGGAAGTGTCAGGAAGGCGTCTCCAGTTTCAGACACTCACACATTTCCCTTGAGGGAAAGGGGTGAGGGGGATTTAAAAGAAGCCTTTAGTGACAAAATAACATGATTAAGAGCATAATCCTTTTCCTGGCTGGGCACTGTGACAGCCGGTGCCGAGACTCAGTAACCCTTAGAAACCCACATCTCACGCTAGTCTTAAAACCAGGTGGTGACGCGTCTCTTCTACAGAAGTGGGCGGGAAGGGCTCACATTTATTGATTGGGACTGCCAGACAGATGGGGATCTTCAATATTCCATTTAGAGTATTGTGTATCCTTAGCTCTAACCCCCCCGGGATGCTGGGAGGTGGGGGGCGGCTGACCTCAACAGAGGGCTAGAGCTGAACCTCGGTGCATTAAATGGGGCTGGGCAGGAAAACGTGCAGATGGCTGTCCCTCTAGTAAATGGAAATGAAATTTGAGCAAATCAAGAAGGGCAGCTGAGCGGCAGGGGGAGAGGGGTTCCCAACCCCCTCTGCAAACACATCCACACACACGTGTGCACACACAAATGCTATCACGGGGCTTTTTCCTCTTAATGTCTGTAACCAAAAATGTCACAGAGGTCAGAAGCCATGCCTGCTGAGGGTGGCCTCTTTGGGAGGGCTTTCCTCCCTTTTCCTGGTAAAATATGGGCTACCCCCCTAAGCAACTCCTTGGTCAAAAGTGAGCCGCCATAAACCACAGCTTCAGACATGGGAACCGGAATGTTTGCAGAGGAGCCTGGACACGGGTCCCTTACAGCTGGCTGGGTGGCTAACAACTTTTTTATTCTTCCTAATCACCTGCAGATAGAAGACTCTCTTGAGCATCATTAGCGTCATTTCCAGAGCAAGGCATCGGCTCTGCTAAAGGGCTGCAGTAATGTCCCCAGTAAGAGGAAGCTAATGAAGGGGAAAAGTAGGTAACCATGAAATCAGAAGCATTTTTCACTGGCAGTTTTCAGCAAAAAGGAAAAAGAAACAGATGAGGGTGACATTGGACAGAACAGCAAATGCCAGGACACCAACACGAGAGAAACTCAAGCAGGATTCCCTGGAGTTTCCTAGCATGAGAGAGGCGACGAAAAACCCATCAGAAAGTCAATCGCTCTCTTTCGTCCTGTGCATCAGGACAGCTGCCCTTACCACGTGGTGGGGGTGGCTCACCAAACTCGGCATCGGTTCTCTCCTGTGAATACTGAACACTGTGCTCATCAGTCCCGTGTCAATGCAAAAGTGTGAATTTCAATAACATGGCTAAAGTTTATTTAATTAAAAATGAAAAGCGAAACGGCACCCCCCTTCCCCAGAGAGGGGCGAGGCTTCCAACTGTCAATAATAATGGCATTTTGCACTTGTAGCCTTTTACTATGGGCAGACGTAATCTCGTCCATTATGTTGCCGGAGCCTCATGGCAGCCTAGGGAGGTGGGCAGCGCGTGTGTAATTACCCCCACTTTGCAGAAATTAGAGTTTGGAGAGAAGGGATCTACTGCGCACCGATCGACATAAAAATGCAGTCCTGTTTCGAAAACCTGTGTGTTGACATCATCCGCTCGGCTCTCCTGGGGCACCTCGGGTTACACAATTACTCTGCCTCGCTGAAGGGGAAGAGCCTCCTACAGCATTCCCCAGGAGAGACGGATACAACAATAAAGTCCCCAAAATAAAGGCGAGGTGCACACGTTCTATTTTGAGGGCATTGTGCTCTGATATTTTTCCATCATTAAAGAACACATCTCTTCCTTCCTGCGTCTGCAGAGCCCCGATGCCAGGGCTGTTATTAGGGGCTGTCAACAAAGCAGGAAAAGAGGGAGCTGAAGCCAAACTCTGTGACCTCCCTTCTTGAGGAGCACCCTGCCACTTCAGGGGCTGTGACACAGGCTGCCTCCGTGGAAGAAAAGGATGAAAGGCTCAGCTTTCTCGGCTGCTTCAGCCTGCCCAAGCCACAGAGATCACAAAAGAAATTTAAGAAGCTTTCAAGAACCCGGGATGAATTGGGAGCAGGGAAGAAAAAATATCCTCTACCTGGAAGGGTGAAGAATCCACCCATCCTTCTCTTCACAGAAGACGTAGGTGAAGTCAGTGTGAAAGAAAGAGATAGTGAGAAACAGCCACTGTTGCCTTTTCATGTCAGCCCCAAGGCCACACTGGCGCTATGAGAGCCAACTGAGCAATAGGACTTCACCACTCAGGTCAGTGGTTGGATGATTTGGTTGAGTGCCTAGAAAAATCTTCCAGCAGAAGACAAGACAGAGATGACCCCCATCTGGGGACCGGTCCTCCTCCTCCACATCATGGCCCCATGTTCCACGTTGCACTGCCACAGAGCCACCCTCCTGGAGTTAATGGGCTGAGAGTGCGTGTGGCGTGGGTGGGAGGGTGCTGGCATCCTCTCTGCAGTGGGCACCCGGCCTCCCTCCTGCCCCCAGGGGCAGCGTGGGCTGGCCGGTCACCAGGCAGGGCTCCAACACGGCACTCTGCAGAAGCCAGCGTCTTCCACTCCGCCCTGTGGCAGGGGAACCTCCAACAGAGTCCACTCAGAGGGAGAAGAAAATGGATGTTCTCCTTAGAACCCCACTGTTCTCTTTGTGTTTCCTTGTTCCTGGGTTTTTTGTTTGTTTGAAGATAATCAAAGCCGTGTTCCCAGTCCACAAAGCCTTTTCTTAGTACATAAATGTGTTTTTTAGTAAATAGGA